TTGTTAGCTGAGTTAAGTATAGGGATACTTTGTCCTTTTACACCTCTTTTGTCTTTTTCATATTAAAAGTTAAAGATACATATTGCATATAATAAAATAATATATCTTGTTACATGTATAGATACATAGAGAGCTAAACCTAGGGATTTCTCCCCCACCCACCTTCCGCCGACCTCCTCTTCCCTCCCCCACCTTCTCTTCTGCCCTCCCCTTTCCTCCCTTCACCCTCTTCTTCCATCGACGCCTAATACCCACAGTTTAGCCACCCCTCCCCATTGAGAGCCATCCTCTACCTGCAGTTTTTTTCCCTTCTCTTTGTATCTCCTTTTGATGTGTATGAAAACGAACACAAGAACAAAGTGGGAGAAGGAATGGGTTTTATTTTGCAGGACAAAATGGGACAACGAAGTATGAATACAAAAGATTGCAAAATCTGTCCCTCAAAATAGGTGGGTTTTAATTACATGGCCAACAGAAAGGATGAGTTTTTTTTTTTTATTAACCTGGATATCCAACTCGCTATGCGAGCCGAGTAATCTTAGAGCGACCACTTGTTTTGCAGGTAGCCCAGAGTCATCGCATTTGAACCGCCGTGGCCACAAGGGGATTTTTATTTCTCCTTGGATTTGAACGTGGGACCTCCTGGTACTTTTGACATATGGAGCCAAGCTCAAACCAATCAAGCACCACCCTTGTGGTTGGGATGGGTTTTATTTTATAGGGGAGATCATCGGAGTCTCAGAGAGTGCTAGACAGGTTTCATGGTAGGGGTCGGTTGAAATTGTTTCACAATAGGGACAGGGTAGGGAGGTGGGTTCAAGGATAGATAAACGAGATGGAAGGTTGGGAGGGAACGAAAGAGATAATTGTGGTTTTATGTGGGTACGAGAACAGATATGGAGGTGGATTTGGTGGTGGGGAAGGGTTAGCCGAAGATGGAGGTGGGGTGGTGTTTCATATTGCTTATGTTGTGAGCTTGCCTAAAACAAAGGTAGATAAAAGGAGGCCACATATGGTTTCACAATGGGGATGGGGAATATGATTGTGGGTTGTATGTATCCAAGAGAATAGAGATGGAGAGAGAGTAAATAAATTGAGGTAGTCAGAGGTGGTGTCGAAGGTTAGCCAACAGTGGTGTTAATGGAAAGGAATGAGGGCTTGTGTGTTTTATTCATACATACATATATATATATATGGAATAGTATATAATAATATAATATAATAAAACAAAATAGAATAAAGACAAAAGAAGAAAACAAAAGGCGAAAATGACCCTTGAATTAATTGGGTTAACAGTTCTATTAGATGGAGGGACTCAAAGCGTGCGTTTTTGCATACCATAGGAACGACCAGCGTAATAAACACGTTTGAGGGACCATAATAGAGAAAACCAACAAACCATAGGGACCAAGAATGTAATTTACCTTATTTATAAGGAAAAGTTCACAAAAACCCAATAAACAATCATATTTTGAATGATTTAGTCCCTGAACTATATTTTTGAATGATTAAATTCCTAAGCTATTTCTTGTATGAAAAAAAAACCATTAAACTTTCTCATTTTCAATGATTAAGTCTTTGAACATTTTTTTTCCAATAAATTAAAGCAACAAAGTTTTAAAAAATTAGTTCCTTACATCATTTTAACCTAAAAAAGCAAAATATAATCGGTTATTTTTTAATTCTCATTCTTTTGATGGTTAAAAAATATAACAAAAAGACAAAAATCAATAACAGGGCCAACAACGTCGTAAATGACATGGAGAACAAACAATATTAGGCAACATGGAGTGGCAAGAGAGAGTGATACCGTTATTTGCGAAGGGTTTCAATGACGTAGAGCTTGAAAATGGTAAAACTGATTCATATTTGTTTTGTACTTTAACACTTTCCTACCCAGTTAAAAGTAGTTTTAAAAAAAAGACGTAGGTAACAAATTTTAGAAGTTTGATGATTTATTTATTCAAAATAAATGTTTAGAGACTTGATTATTTAAAATGAGAAAATTTAATGATTTTTTTATTCAATAAAATAGTTCATGTACTTAATCATTCAAAATAAGAAAATTTAATATTTTTTTCATTCAAAAAAATAATTGAGGATTTAATTTTTCCAAACTTTTTTTTATTTAATATTAATTTATTTTTTGTTTTCTTTAAAAAAAATAAAATGACCAAAATACACTGACAACTCTCACTTTTTAGAGTTATTTATTATTTATATCCTCCATTTTTGCATCTATTAAATATCCAATTTCTTTGTTTCCCTCATTTTATTCTAAATTTTTTAAAAATAATGATGAAACACAAAGAAAGAAATTTTATTCTGAAAAACTATACTTTCTGGCAACTGGCAACTGCCCACAGTGGGAAGTTCACGAATTTTTGTTAGTCTTCTACTTTGTGGAGGTTGTTTGCTTGAAAATCTTGTTCAAAGATATGATACAGCTGGAGTTGCTTGTAAAGTTATATTTTTGTATTATTTTAAGTGGTTGTTCAATGGTCTTTGCCACAAGGTTTATTTGTGTTTAATTTTCTTTGGATAAATGAGTTATCTTTATCCATTCCTCTCCTATATAAAGAGGCATTAAGGTTCACTTTGAAGATCATCTCTTAGAAGAATTATCAGCTGAAGTTTTTCTCTTCGTCTCTTAAAATTTAGCATGTAACTATCTTATTAATTGTAATCTGTTGCCCACAGTATCACCACTGTGGGCAGCAGACTTTTGTTCTATATTAATGAAAGTCGTATTTAAGTTTTATTTCTTGTCTTATATTATGTTTTTCATATATAGTATAAGCTAATTTACCCGTATGAGTGTGGATGTGAGTTTAACTTAGGATTTTTATACAATCTTTGAGTGTTTTTACTCTTTACCACTTCGTAACTTGGTCACTTAAGACTAGACTTAAACTTGACGCGGATAAACCAATCACTTTGAAGTGTTAATATTAGATCTTAAACCCATAGATGGACAGATTCGAAATACGGCTTAAGTGATGCACAAAGAACTCGAGAGAGGCTTTGATAATTACGTGGAGACACAAATTTTGTATGTATTTAGCTAATAATTAAGCGATTGTTATTCTTATTAAAAAGAGATTTGGATATGAATTTTATTTCTTCTTCTTTTTAGCTAAATCGACAAGTTTCGAAGTGGTGAGCGTAAGAACTTTGTGAAACTTTATGGGGACCATTTGTAAATTTTCACTTTCTAGAGATTGAAATTTTTATAAACGACTTATAAGTTTCTAACCATTATATTGTGTTTTTATCTTAAGGAATAATTACACCCATGTCCACCTTTTATTTTGTAAGTCTATTTCGTTTATTTCATCATTTAAAGCTTTTTATAAACAAAATCCAACTTTTATTCACAAACCTAAATGCGATCAAGAAGTTCGTGAATCTCAGTAGTTTAGTCCATGTGGAAACGATATCGGTATTTTACTACTTTATTACTTGCAACCGGTCCTGGGCCGGGCCAGTCCCAACCGGTCCTAAGATTTCTCATAACCGGCCATAACCGGTCCCAGTCCCGTTCGAAAAAATTGCGCCCGGTTAAGCTTTATTGTAACCGGTTATGGGCCGCCGGTCCCTGTCATTAAAAAATAATTTTTTTATTTTTATTTTTTTCATTATATATATTTTTAATACATAATAAAATTTGTAATTGGGTCACTCAAATACACTTTAAAAATGTGTTTTATTATAATTAAAATTACATTGTCTTACAAAATATAGCAAGAAACCGATAATTGTGAAAGTTTTTTTTTACGTTTTTTGCGAATCAAGAACTTGGTATGTAAATCCCTCAACCAATACACTTATAGTGTTTATAAAGCAAAAAATACAAAAAAAGGGGCTAGTTTTTTGAAAAATAACAGCTACATTTTTATTAAAAAAAAGCTACATTTTTGAAAAATAGGGCCGTGTCGGTCCATAACCGGTCCCGGTTCCGCGAAACACCCCAAATCCTATAAGCAGTCCTTACCGATCCCGAGCCGGGCCGGTTTGGCCATCACTACTTGCAAACAATCATAATATCATCGTGCACTTGCACCGTCACTGTAGAGACTTCGTGCTCACTGTGTGAACATCAAAATTCTAGCGTGTCATACACCTAATATAATCTATACTATATTATAAAGCATCTGATCTAATCTCTTAAAAACAACTTTTAAAGCATTATGTACTGTTTATTGATGTATATTAGTTAAAGTTCAAGATTAAAAGTAAATTTTTCGTATGTACAACTTATTAAAGCTCTATGTTTGAATTTGTGTAACTAACTACAGATAAACATAATCAAATTCTGGATAAGTATCTTATTTTAAATATAAAAAATCTAAAATATATTTAGGATAATCATTGAATTCAAAATACTAAATATTATCTTTATAAAAGAACTATATTATTAAACTAAAAATAAATGAATTCGTTATTAAATCTAAATTAAATTAAAAAAGAGAATTAAAAAAATTACACAAAAAAAAAGAACTTGTAAATATTTAATTTGATATAAAAATCGATATATATTTTTTTCAAAATTTTATGATACCTTCAAATTTATATTTTATTCAAAAAAATAAATACATTATCCTTTTTTTCGGTACCACATAAAATCGTATTATAACATCGACGAAGACAGAATAAGATAAAATATTAAAATCATAATGTATCTAGCTGTATTGCGCAAGAACCCTTCTAAGTAAAGAAAAAAGTTTAATTAAGAAAATAAAAATTAAACCATTATTTAATGATTAATTGGTTTAATCCACAAATCTCTAGGAGTTAAAAAGTAAATTTAAAATGATGGTGAAAAGTACAAAAAAGATTCAAATTCTAATAATTTAATTAAAAAAAATTATTTGAAAGCTATTTTGGAGTTTATGGCAGAGATTTTGTTTTGACTCGATTCCACTGTTAAATATGATTCCATTCCATCTCCCCTTCTTCCTCAACCAAACCCTAGCAGCACTTACTCTCTCTCTCTCTCTCTCTCTCTCTCTCTTTTACCAGTCGCCGGTGGTAGATTCGGATCTCTCTCCGACTTATGGCGGCTTCCGCTTGCATAAATAATATCGGCTTCTCGCCGGACAACTTCTTGGACTACTCCTGCATCTCAATGCCTCACCAAGATAACCTCTCAGATCTACCAGATCCAGACCTTGACTTTGAGTTCAGACTTGAAGATCCGGTTATCATGCTTCCCGCCGACCAGCTCTTTTCTGACGGTAAACTCATTCCGCTGCAACTACCCCACCAACCTGCCACCACAGTTCCTTCTAAGCCTCGTCGGAGAGTCTCTGTTGCTGATCCTTTTTTGTACTCTCCCAAGGCGCCCAGGTGTTCCAGTAGATGGAAGCAGCTTCTCAGTTTTAGGAAACTTTATCAAAACAACAACAACAACATTGCCAAACCGGATGACAATGCCAATGGTGCCACCAAATCTATCAAACCATTTCTTCAACGAGGCTCGAAATCTCCAAACGATAACCTTCCGTTGCTTAAGGATACGGATAACGAACCCGCCTCACGTCTCTCTCTTTCTTCATCTTCTTCCAGTCACGATCCGGACGAACTTCCTCGTGTCTCTCTTGATTCCGAAAGGCCCGCGACAGGGAAGGTGGTGAATCCTCCGAGGATGAGAATGGTGAAAGTAAGAACAGCGTCATCGAATGATGGAAGAAGGTGTCCAGCGGAGGCGTCGCTCCGTATTGACAGTCCTCGAATGAATTCATCGGGGAAAATCGTTTTCCATAGTTTGGAGAGGAGTTCAAGCAGTCCGAGCAGTTTGAACGGATTGAAACACAGGGGGATGGAGAGATCGTATTCAGGTAATGTCAGAGTGAATCGAGTTCTAAACGTTCCGGTTTGTTCGGTGAGAAAGTCAGGAGGTGTATTCGGGCTTCCGTTGTTCTCGTCACCTCAGGCTCAGAACCAGAATCAGAAGCGGGAAGCTGGCAGCAACGGAGGAGGAAGCCGGAAGAGTAAAACGAGCTTGGGGTGAGGTTGGTAGTTAATTTGTCATTGTTGTTGCATTTTGCTTGAATGTAGATATGTCTGAATCTGAATTTGAATCTAAATCTGATGTTAGTTTAAAGCTTGATTTGGTATGTAAATTGAATTCATCCTGGCTGCCATCTCCTTGATCTTATTCTCAACATGACATGATATGGAGCAACAGTAGTAGTATGTTATCTCCAAAAAAGATCTGCGTCACTTGATCTGAATATCACAAAACGGATTCGGATTTGACATGTCATCTCCTCATATTTTAACATTTTTCATATTTTCTTGAATAAAACACCCACTAAACATGTTATCTTTATCTCCTTTCCCCTTTTTCTCCTTCCCTTTCTTTTGTTTGTTTGTTTGTTTTGTATGTAAACAAATTAAGGAGTCGTTTATTAAACGCTTGTTTGGTAAGTGTTTACCGGATAAATTTTTTTATTAGATGAACATGACGAGAGCCAAGAATCTTACCGGGTAAGAGCAATGGGAAGGATGTAGAGTCTTACCCGGTAAAGTGAAGATGACGACTTTACTCACGTAAGTGCTTACCCGGTAAATTGTTGCAATCGACACGTTTTGATATACTAAAATCTTACGCATCAAGGTAAATTATAATGTTGACTCCTATAGGTAAACAGTTATCGGGTAAATTTTTGGGTAATCAGCCTCTAAGTCTAGGTTATCGAGTAAATATAGACATGGATGATTAGTGTTTGTAATTTCATGTTTTTGTGTACATCCAAAATTTGGAACTTCTAGTGGTTATCTATATCAATCATAGGGAGAGGGAGGAGCGATTAAATGCAAACCACCCAATTTGTACAAACCGTGCAAACCACTTTCATCCATCGATTTCATTGTTTAATCTTATGAAAAAATTTCATAAAATTGTTTAATCTTTTGAAATTGTTTCATATAATACTTTTTTTTGAAGTTGTTTCATATATGGTTATGAAATTGTTTCATATAATACTTAATTAAATTTTAATGAAACTGTTTCATGTATTTCTCTAAAATTAAAATAATGAAGATGATAATATTCATGATTAACACCATCCACAATAAAAATGATTAATCAACCTCTCATAATTACAAAAAAAATGAACAAAATGAAAAATTATGATTGGTTGAATGAGATTTGTACGGTTTGTACAAATAATTGATATGGTATAATTAGGTTACAGAATTTCTCAATTCTTGGATTGTGGTGTTAATGCTCATCCCTCATTGGTTGAATTATAACATTTAGCCACCATATTTTTTGTTCAAAACAACTCTCAAATATTCAATTGTAGTATTGAGTTGATTATCTTACATTGATAGAAAGAAAAATAAATTTAAAAACAAAATTATTAGTAGTACATCTTAAACTCTTCATAACATAAACCTATTAATATTACTAGAAGGGTACTCGCGTAATGCCGTGATATATATCTTCATAAAAATAAATTTAAAGACATCATAAAATTTTGAAAAAGTATATCGATATTAACATATACAAATTAACCACTAAAGAAATACGTTTCATTTTAACTTTCTAAAAATTTGATGCTTGATTTGAGTATTTTAAATTCTTGAATTTTAGTCTGGTTTTGGTCATCCCACGTTGGTGTTGAGATGATAAATTGGAGAATATATTTGAGTATATATAAATGATGTGGACGTCTTTGATATGTATAAATGTGCATTGGCTAAAAAACAACAAAAATGATGAGATGACTCCACGTCAAATGAAATATCAGTTCTTATCAATTTAATATCTGATACGTAAATGATCACGTCAAATGAGACTGGTTTTTTCTTATTATATTACAATTTTTCTGTGCACTTTGTAGATTTAAGTGATTTTTATTTATTTATTAAATTAAATTCAATTCAAACAATGTATGGTAAAATGTGCAAAGCCTTTCATTAATTAATCATTGTTTTCATAAAGACCCTTTAACTTATGAATAAGCTTTGTCTGAATTTTTCATTCATAAAGTATTTTTATTTATTATTTATATTAGAAAAATAATTGTATTTTAGAGCATTTTCAATGGTTGTCTTAAAAGAACTCGAAGATGACTTAACCATTTGAAGTTAATGATTTGAAGATGACTTTTTTTTATCAACCATTTGAGGTTCCTCGAGTCGTTGAAAGAAATGGACGTGAGAGACATAAAAAGAGAAAAAGTATATTATAGTGGGCATGAGACTTATATATATATATATATATATATATAATTTTATTCAAGTCTTTTAGATGGATTGATCATTGTGGAGGGAATTCACGGATTCACTTTTATATCTATGTCTTTCTCTTTACTCTGTTTTATAGGAAACAATCATTCGAATGTTTATGCACTCCAAAAACTGAAAAACATTGAATATGATATATGATTCAAATGTGCGTTCAATTCAGAAAACGGAAGGATTTTGAATATGTTGATTCATTCACATGTGCATATAACCTAGAAATTGAAAAAAAAATGAATGTGGTGGTGATTCATTTCACAAGTGCATTCAACCCAGAAAAATGAATGAGGGTGTACACGACAATTCATTCACATATGCATGCAACCTAGAAATTAAAAGAGGATATATATGGTGATTTATTCACATGTGCTTGCAACCCAGAAATCGAAAGACGATGGATACGATGATCCGTTCATATTAGCATGCAACGCAAAAATCAAAAGATGAGGAATATGGTGATTCATTCATATGTGCATGTAGCACAAAAATCGAATGAAGTAATAAGTTGGAATTTTTTATTTAGATTGTTGAATATATTTTCCTTGATTTAAGGGGTTTAGTTAATGAAAATGATTATCTATCAATGAAATCCACTCTTAACAGGATATAGATTTTTCAATTTATCAGGTGATCGTCTTAATCAGCTATATTTAATATTATATCACAATTTTAACTGTATTTTTACTTTTTTAGCATGAACATTCAACCTTCTTCTTTTAGTCTGTTAGCATTATTTATGTGTTCTTATTTTGATTTGATTTGTTTAAACACAATCGCTTAACTAAATTGTAAAATGCAAAATGATGTATCAAAGTGTCAACTCGACTAACCCAAACTCACACGTTTTAGGTTGAGATTTTTCAAATCACAAAAAAATGAGTTTGGTTGTTATGTCGTCAACCCGACCAACTCTACCCGTTTACAGCCCTAGGTAACGGGTTGCAGACAAATATTGCTTTTCATACGTGAAACGGATTTGAGGCTAGGATGGTACTACTCGTTACTTCACGATACCTGCTATATATATATATATATTTTAGGGAAATTTATCCAAATAGCTAATTCATTGAAGTGATTTCACTTTTTAACCATCTTAGAAAACGTTTTCCTTAAATAACCGAAGTTTACAAAAAAACTTTACGCATAAAAGAGATTTTCTATGCAAAGTTTATTTTAAGGGAAAAAAATAAAAATGATTTAAAAAATGAGTTTACACAAAAAAAAAATGAGGACTTTAAGCAGAAAATCCTTTTTCTGCATAAAGTTTTTAATTTATTAATTTTTTATCACATCTTACATCTTTATAATTAGTTATTTTTATCTTATATTCCTTGTTTTTTTTATTTTACATCTTTATTATATTAATACACATAATCATATATTAACTAAAATACATATTTTTTTTTAAATTACACCATTAATCGTCTCGTTAATACGTTTAAAATGAGCCAAATATTGAATATTTTTAAATTTAATCTGACGCAACACTTAAAACCCGAACGGGGTTTCTTCTACAGTTGATCCACACACGAACACACGTAGATCCTCCCCGGGTGCTAGCCTAAAAGAACCCTAATTCTAAATATGCGTGGTTAGACTGATAATCAAGTTCGGAGAATGGAATCACCAAGTTGGTTTGCCCTATCACCCTATTTATATTGACAAGTATCTCAGATAGACCACAACTCAGATAAGGTTTGGTTGATTATCTGTAATAATTATATAATTATCTTAAACTTTAATATAATTATACATACTTACAGATAATACCCTATAATGATTATAATTATGTTTTAACACATATTTTATAATTATTATTCAAGAATAATTATTTACATGTCAAACATGACTTTTCTCGGGTTAAATCAAATGGAAGCAAACGTATTCTTTGTGTGTAACCCTATAGGTTTACATATTCCTCATCAGTATCTTTATGTGACACGTGTCGTAGGCATATAATAACTTACATTCCCCCACTTGCACACGATACATAATAACATAAAACGATGGTAAGAGTCTAGTAACACGTCAGCGTCCCTAAGGCTATGTAAATATGTTTTTCCTTCGAGCAATCTGACTGATTCAAGCAATCATATGGTAATACCATTCTTTATCCTTTTGCTTCACGATATTTTGTTTTGAACTTAAGGCATAGATCTATCACAACCCTTTATAATTCAAATATTATGTTTCTCGATCCCAACATATTTGATCCAGATAGATGCTATTAGTTCTAATTAATCCACCAGTCTACAACCATGTGAACCAAACGATGTCATCGTGTGGGGCCCATCTCTTAACTTGAAAGGAACAAATCCTATATTACATGTGTACGACTTATACACAATTCGTGTCATACCCAACACAACCCTTATGATTATCCGGTTAAGGATAACGTTAGACTACATCTAAAGTCTAGATTTTTTTGCTTAAAATCTCATTTTTAAATTATTTTCTTTTTTTTTAATCTGAAAATAAATTTTATGTAAAAAATATCTTTTATATGTAAAGTTTTTTTTTTGGATATTTTAGGAAAAGATTTTCTAAGATGACTAAAAAGGGAATCATTTTAATAAATTGATTATTTGTGTAAATTTTAATATATAATTTAATTATATTTTTTTTTTCTTAAAGATTATATACTTTTAAAATTATGATGAATTAATTAAATATGGTTTGGTAATATCATTATATGTTTTTTTTTTTGGAAAATTGAGGTTTATTTTTTTTGTTTAAACATTAAAAAATCGTTTTTTTTCCTTTCATTTTTATAAACGGATACCCGATTTTCCATTCCGGTCGGACCCCCGAACCAGTGGGCATTAGGCGGGGTGGTCTCTCCAATCTCCGTCTCCTCCTGACGATGCCGTCCTATGGAGATTGCAACTACTCATGCGCCACTGCTACTGAAACCCTAGAATGGATTCACGCCATTATTGATTTCATCCATCCTTATACCTTCTTCTGGGAATCCCATGTCGTCAATTTCTTCACAGTAATCAAACATCTTAACCCTTAACTCCAATATTTTATTCACAAATTTACCTGTTCTAAATGTATTTTGTCTTAACACTACAGGATAGACTGTGGGAAGCTGTCGATAAAGAATGGATTGATTGCTTGCGGAACGAACCCGTCGACCATCTCATTCAGATTCCTTCTGGCTTTTTCAAGGTCTGCACTTACTTTGAATGCCAAATGTGTAAATTACATTCTGTCACAAGTAACCAAACCAAGTCAAACCAAACGAATTATTGTCATGCCTGTTGGTGATTTTAGTGTCATCAATCTATTTTCGTGTAATTGTGGTTTACTTGAGATCGATTAGGTGTGATAATGCAAACAATGTGAGTTTGGATTATGTTGCCTCTATCAACTTAAATCTCCATAATGCATAAGCTAACGGTGTCATGCAACCCCCTTGAAAATTTTACCAATTTTACTGAACTAAGAGGAGAAATCTGGTCTATGCCCCGTTATTCTTCACAAGTGAACATTTTAAAACCTCTTGTACGAGAATAGTGACATTCTAGATGGATGCAAACAAATATGCATTAAAACTCATGCTTATCTTAATAAGTTATTTAGGAAACTAGAGAATATCAACTATCCCAGTATCCCACCATAGCTGTTGCCATGGAGAGTCACAATGGTAGGAGCACCTTTTATTGATCTCTTATTTTTTCATGCCTTATCTGATATATGCAATGCATAAAGTTGTACTTGATTGCTTCCTTTTAATGCAATGTTTGCATTATCTTAAAAGTTAAAATGACCTAACCAATTATGACAGCTGAGTTTTGTTTAAGCTCAATTATGACTAAGAACTCCAGTATTGGCATTTATAAATGCTCATTTCTTGCATCTACTGCCAGGACCACTGGCCTTCTTCATTGAAGAAGTTCATCACGACCACGAGCTCTCTCGCATTTCCTCGTGAGCAGGCAGATTTGGAGAAGGTATTGTTTTGATTATGCAGATAATAAAACCATACTATGATATTACAAGATTCTAGGCGCTGTGGTAGTTATGTTGTTGATCTATTAGTATTACAATTTTCCTCTAAATCGAAATCTGTTTACACTGTTGAGAAGTGGGGATCTTATATTTTTGGGGTTGGAAAGGTGAGTTTAGATTGTAAGAAATGGTAATGTAATCTTTTCCTTGCAGCTGTTACCGAATATGCAGGTGGCTTTGCTTAATAATGTTATAACCCAGGGGATGAATCAGAAGAAAAGACATGAAGTAAGTCGTAAATACATTTCATTTTTCTTTTCCTTCATGCTTGTAGTTTCTCATGTCCTAGTTGTCAATAGCGTCAATCCTTCCATTCCAAGAGCTTATGCTTATTTTTCGAGCATTGATTATTGTTCTCAATTCATCAAAAACTTCAAGAACCTTAGTTTATCTTTTTATTTTATTGTTCCCCTTCTTTCTTCTTTCATAATACATATTTTCAACTCACATATGTTAAGATGATGCATGTATTGTAGAATAGAAGTATTTTTGGTGTCATATTAGTTATCAATATCTAATTGGTTGCCCATATAGACACATTTTTAGAGATCACAAGCGAATTTGAAAACTGCTGGTTGGGCCCTTGTAAGTTTTCTTTAACATTGATGACGTTATTAACTAGTCATGTGTATGCTTTCTTCCTGGAATATGTTAGAATCATGCTTGAAAGTGGATTGCAATGCAATATACTATGATAAGTGTAACATCCCATGCCAATCTTTCTCTTTGTCTAGACTTGGACTCACGTTCTTAAAACGCGTCTGGTAGAGGAGGTATCCAGTCCCTTATAAGGCAACCTTAGTTCCCCTCTCCATTCAATGTGGGATCTTACAATAGCGTAATTGTAACACACCCCAAATCTACAGTGGAAATGAGATCTCCAAACAACATAATGAATCGCTAAAAAGGTCTAAAAAATTAAATCAAACAACTTAGTTTCAACACAAACTTAACTTAAGGTCTCCAAAGATAAAAATCAAATCTCAAAACAAAAAAAGACTCCTAAAATATTAATCTACTTCAAGATTAAAATTAACTTCAAATAAATAGAAGTCCTCGAAAGCAGGTGGTCCTCTCTTCATAATGCCCATGAATTCCCCTTAGCTAGATACCTGTCGGAAGCAAAACATAGCGTGAGCAAATTCTCACTACGTATTATGAATACAATAACTCAACCAATACATAATTAAAAAATCAATTGAAGATAAGGTTTCAAAGCTTCTCCAATACCGTTACCGTGAACTCTAGAGTAATCAAAGAATTTCAGGTTGAAACAAGGGGTTAGTTTATACATACCGAGCTTCCTACACGGAGCAAATCATAACACAAGATATCCCAAACAAATCATAATACACTGGATTCGTGACTCCAAGTGTATCCAAAATCAGTGGCATGTATGGCACTACATTGGACACAGGTAACGAAGCTCCAAAATCCTAGGGCCGACCCATATGGCTTCGGAATAAAAATCATCCATCACACCGTGGCTAACTCTCATCAGAGCACACAAAATACAGAAGGAGACGCCATGGACTAATCACATTGCAATGGATAGTGTCACGCCATTGACACCACTATGACATGCCTGTAGTACCCGTATAGGTGGTTAACTCGGTATTACGATCCTCCAAACTATCTAAAAGGGGTTTTATGTGTGTGCATGGATGAATAAAACCAACCTCAACTCCGGGTATATTCACCATGCATCAAGATCTTATAAAATCAGAAGATTAAAAACGTAATTAGTGACATGGAAGCAAATTGAATCAAAGCTCTCAATTATCAAGGTTTTAAACAACAAATTATTATTACGAGAATAATTCGAGAATTGAAATACCATATATCAACCAACAAAGCGATTGAGACGAATGGTATATAACAAATGTCACAAGATAACAAATATAATCGAATAGAGTGTCGCTGGTAGAAGTACGGAGATCCGAACCTGGCACGATATCCGAAAGTATAAAAAACCGCTAAAACACTCCTCCTAGGTGCTTCCAATGAAGCTAGTGCCCCAAGATCAACAATCATATAATTATTACAACCAAAACAATATAATTATAACTCTCTATTGCTACGATATAACTTAAATGAACCTAGGATAGGTTCATTTAAGTTATATGGTAGCAATAGAGAATTATAATTATATTGTTTTGGTTGTAATTATAGGTTCATTTAAGTTATATGGTAGCAATAGAGAATTATAATTATATTGTTTTGGTTGTAATTATATGATTGTTGAATCTTGGGGTACTAGCTTTTTCGATTCTCGAATTTTTCTCGTAATAATAATTTCTAGTTGTTCAAAACCTTGATAACTGAGAGCTTTGATTTGATTTGCTTCGTTTACTTATTATGTAGCGAATTACGTTTTTTATCTTATGATTATATAAGATCTTGATGCATGGTGAATATACCTGGAGTTGAGGTTGGTTTTATATTCATCCATGCACACACATAAAACCCCTTTTAGGTAGTTTGGAGAATAGGAATACTGAGTTAACCACCTGTAGGGGTACTACAGGCATGTCATTGTAGCGCCAGTAGTGTGACACTATCCGTGGTAGTGTGATTAGTCCATGGTGTCTCCTTTCCGAATTTTGTGTGCTTTGATGAGAGCTGGCCTTGGTGTGATGGATGATTTTATTCAGGAGGCGTATGGATCGACTCTTTTGTTATCAGTGTGCAATGTAGTGCCATACATGCCACTGATTTTGGATACTCTTGGAGTCGAGAATCCAATTTATTATGATTTGTTTGGGATATCTTGTGTTATGATTGGCTCTGTGTAGGAAGCTCGGTATGTCTAAGCTAATCCGTTGTTGTTTCAGCCTGAAATTCTTTGATTACTTTAGGGTTCAGGGTAACGGTATTGGAGAAGCTTTGAAACCTTATCTTCAATTGATCTTTTTATTTATGTTATGCTTGACTTATTTTGTATTCATAATCCATACTGGGCATTTGTCTCACGCTGTGTTTTTCTTCCGACAGGTATCTACCTATTATGAAGAGAGGACCACCTGCTTTTGAGAACTTATATTTATTTGAAGTTAATTTTAGTCTTGAAGTAGATTAATATTTTAGGAGTCATTGTTTGTTTGAGATTTGATTTTTATCTTTAGAGACCTTAAGTTAAGTTTATGTTGAAACTAAGTTGTTTGATTTAATTTTAGACCTTTTTATCGATTCATTATGTTGTTTGGAGATACCATTTCCGTTGTAGATTTCATTTTGGACCTTTTAGCAATTCATTGCATATGGTATCAGAGTCGGGAACGGGACTAGTGTGCGAGCGAGGATGCTGGGCTTCCAAGGGGGGTGGATTATAAGATCCAACATTGGCTGGGGAGGGGGAATGGAAGTTGCCTTATATCGGATACCTCTTCTATCATACGCTTTTTAGAACCGTGAGTCTAGGTGTGTGGACAAAGCGGACAATATCTGGTCCGGTTGGCCTGGGTGTTACAATAAGCTTCTCCAATTTTAAGATTAAAGAGATGATTATAACTGAATGGTTGATGGAAAATAATTACCTAACACAAGTGAAGCAGTTGGAATATGAATATTAGAGATTCTTTTTCTTTAATTTCTATGGATGATTAATATTTAAACCTTGAAAGTTATTCTCTCAGTTACTTTGTATGTACAGATAGAAGCTCTTGCGGCCGTTGTTAGTTCAGTAGCAAGAGATGTTGAAACTAATACAGTAGTTGATGTAGGCGCAGGCCAGGTAAACCTCGTCCTTTCATCATTGTTTCATTGAAGAAGTCGGCTATTCAGTGATTTTAAGTGTCATGTTGAGTAATATGAAACCTAAATTTTAAATGCATGCAAGCTAAGAGAAGTAGTTGCTGTTGCCTATTGGTGATTTTAGTGTCCTCAAGCTATTTTTGTGTGATTGCAATCTACAAGAGGCCAACTAGGTGAAAAGGCATACATATTTGCAATCTACAAGCTATTATCTTCATGCATTCAAATGGGTTGACGGGTTCAATCCTAAGGACACCATGATTCTCCAATATTTGGAATGTGTAATAAATTAATATGGAGATCCAATCTTCGTGACATTTTCATCTATGCATTTATTTGGTTTTATATGTTTGAATTTTTGTTGTGGATCAAAGGATTACACTAAAATGGGGGAGGAATGCTGGTGATTTTAGTGTCATCAAGCTATTTTGGTGTGATTGTGACCTACAAGAGATCTACTAGGTGAAAAGGCATACATAATGTGAGTTAGGTGGTGCGAAGTGCACTCACAGATGTTGTCTCTTAGATCGCCATAAGGTGGGTGTCGCTGCCCCTTTACGGGGTCCTAGGGGCAGCGCCCCTGGCGGTGGTCTCGCTGAACTGGGTTTATGGGAGGAGTTTGCTTAGCAATTTTAAGTTTTTGGACGTTCTGAATGAAATTTAGCAGGTTGGTATCCTTCTTGAGTTGGTTTTTAAACTTAGTAATTTAGAGACCAAGTATGCATCAGATGCTTCTGGTTGAGAAGGCTTCTGACTCGGAGCTTCTGAGCCTTCTGACTCAGTTACTGACCCCTTTCAATCTTATCCATAAGTGGTTGTAACTTGTAACTGCTGTGGAGTTACATTATAGCCCCCTAACTTCCCATATCCGTCGATCTCTCAATATAAATATGTAAAACGTGGAATCTGGGTGTATATAAGGAACTCGATCCTACCTTTAAAATCAGCATAATCATTGGATTATCCTAATACTCAATTCGTGATACCAAAGGCTAATAGGTCGAATTAATGTATTTCGAAAGCAAACTTTAAGCGGTCAAATTGATTTATCCAGTTGTATAATTTGGAAGGTTGCGATTTCTCAACTGCCGCAGTTTCTATGATCAAGGAACTCTTGATTTCTGACGGTTGCTCGTAGAATTGTGTGATGGAAAATACATTATGGAGATCTTGTTTCTGAATGGTAACCCTATAAAAAATGCATATGCTTTTTAAACTCTTAAAGAATTCAGTCATCCTGTGTGATGGATGTGAATGTCCTTGATTAGAAAGGCCTGTTTACGTGAATTATTCCTGTACAACACTACGAGGATAATAAGATTTGATCCTACATATAATAAAATTACTGATTCTTACTAAGAGATGCACAAATGGGCCTAGGGCCTAAGATTGGTCCCAACTTGAGATTGGGCCTGAAAAGCTTGAGCTCAACAGGATCAGTTCCAGGCCCTGTTAAGCCTAATGGCTTTGTTTTGGTTTTGAAATTTTTACACAAGCCCAATTAGGCCCGAAGCCTGGTCAAATACCGAGTGCGAGCCAGAGCGCAGTTAGGACCAATACTGAGCCTGTTTAGGACCAAGCCCACAAATTGTGAGACAAACTAAAGACCAGGCATTAGGCTATTTTTGGATCGACTTGTTTTGTTTATCATTTTAAAATTTGTTAATTATTTTCTTATGCATTTTAGCTTCTTTGAATATTTAACAATAAGAAAAATACTTTTAGGTGTATTGCAAAATCTAAAATGTGTAATAGTTGTTGAATTAATTTGAAATGTTAAATTATTAGCACAAAATGTTACACAAATTTGTTAGCTCAAAATGTTAAATATTACCCATAAGTTAACATGTTAGTCCTAAAGTAATAAATATTATACAAATTAATTAAGAAGAAAATTGGGCCTGGTTACTGGTTAGGACCACCTAGCCTAGATCAAGCCTGTTTTTGGAAAATGGGATTGGGACTCAAAAAAACTGAGACTAGGCCTGGTCCTAAGTGACCAAGCTACATTTGTTCATCTCTAGATTTTACAGTTGGTTTTCTCTTTGAAGTAAAACATCCTTTTTGTTCTCTATTAATCAAAAATTATGTTAAGATCTATATTCATGCATGTATTTGACATCAGTCTGACTTGAATTTGTGTAGGGTTATCTTGCACAAGTACTCTCTTTTGAGTACCAGCTGTCTGTAATTGCAATTGATGCCTCTTCTCATCATGGAAGGATCACTCATGCACGTGCAGAGCGAATTAAGAAACATTATGATTCCAGGATGCGTAAATCGAGGTATATATTATGAGATGATAAATTTTGGTGGACTAATCTTTATTGGTACAGTGCTTCAGGGACTTGTGCATGAAATCTATTGTTCCACTTTTATGCTGTCAACATGTTGGCTCTCCTACTCTCGCAGGTAGTATGACTGTGGGAATACAACTTGGTTAAAAGAGAAGATAGTAATCAAAATCATATTGTCCTAAGGACCTGGAGTTTACCTCCACCTGTTTGAATGTCCAACATAAACACAATTCAAATGCACTCCTTAATCATATACAACTTTTTTAGTTTAGGAGGAAAAGACTCGAGCTCGACCATGCCCAAGACAGTCACTTGCAGTGTCCTCTCCTCAGACATGTTGAAGACTTTGCTTAACTCAAAAGATGCTGAGCCTAGTTTGATCCAACAAGGTACCAGCATTGATAAACGTTGTCAGAGCCAATCATCGCCTACAAATGATTCGTGTTCCTTGCTTCTCACTGGTCTTCATGCTTGTGGGGATCTGTCTGTAACATTGCTCAGGTAAGGCTACGAGTTTGGTATTCATCTGTCTGTGCTGAGGCATCATTACACATTCGGCCTTGAGGGATATATGGTATTGAAAACAGTTGCAAGAGTAGTACTTCCACCTGACAATCTACTGGAATGATTATAAAATGGTTTCTTCATGCCAAATTCCAGTTGAGATTCTTGTAGTGAATGCAGTAGTTGGCTTGCAAACATTTTCTGCCCGCCACTTTGTAACACTGTTTTGATTTTATTTCGTGAAGGACATTTTTGGAGAGTGAACAAGTCAAAGCAGTAGTTAGCATTGGCTGTTGTTATAACTTGCTATCAGAGAATGAAGGTGGAGAAGATGATGCTGTGTGTGGTTTTCCTATCAGCAGAGGTGTTAAATCCACTGGCATACATCTCTCAAGAAGTTCACGTGATCTTGCTTGTCAGGTATCTAAAAATCCTAGCATTTTCTCAATAACGTTCATACTAAAGGATTGGGTTGTAAATATTGTTGAATTTGAAGGTTTTCTGTTTGTACTTTGTCGTTAGAAGCAAGAATTATATTAGGTTTAGGCCTGTGAATCCTAGTTATATTAGCCGTAAAATTCTTCCCCATTGGGCATAGCTTGCTTTGGCAAGACAACCTATACTTATGTATATCCGGTTACTTGATAGAATTTATCTGATTCCTTATTAGTCAGTAGAATTGAAGCTTCTGAGTTCTAATTGTTTCATGGTATCAGATGCGATGAATTCTAAGTTTATTAAACCTGGTTATATATTTTCTTAGATGACTTGCGTATTGTGCTTTGTTTGCTTTAGCTGCAAGGCTCATTCGACCTATATATATATTTAACTATTGTTGGATACAATCAAGCTCTTGCTACATATGCACTTGAGGCTAGAACTTTATTGAGGGGATGATGTGTGGTGCCTATGGGATATTCCAGTTGATTGAATTGTTTCATACTAGAGTGCAGATAGATGGAGAGGTCTGGAGAAAGTTGGTGGTATTCATAATTTTGAGTTGCATGCTTTCCGTGCTGCCTTCCAAATGGTATAGACTTACTTGCATCTTCCTGTGCGCAGTTGACATATTATATAATGTGAGTGAGTTGTTGTAGGTGCTTTGGAGATATTTTCCAGAGACTCTGAGCAAAAGTCCTAGGACAGGGCGACAAGGGAAGGCTTTGCGGCGCAAACAACAGAGGGCGATGACTACACATCCAGTCCTTCCAGTAGAGAGTTTGGGTAGGTAGTTTATTAGATATGAGAATAGTTGATTATTAAATTAAAATGTGTTACGGTTGCAATGCAGCAGGAGGCGACGATGGTGATAGATGTTCACTGTTTGAGAAATTCTGCAAGTCAGGATTGCATCGTCTGAATGTAAAGGAATGGGAGAATGTTGATTTTAATGGGATCTGGAAGGAAGCTGAACCATTTACTGTAGGTTCTTTTTCCCTCTCAATTAATTCTGTATATAATTTAATAATAACAAGTGTATGGATGTAAATATGCAGGAGGTGATAGGGGCATATTGGTCACTGAGAGCAGCATTGGGGCCTGTATTGGAAACATTGATTCTGCTTGATCGATTGTTGTTGTTGCAGGAGGAAGGGGTGGAAGGTGCAACCATGGTACCCATATTTGATCCAACCATCTCCCCCAGGAATATGGCTCTCATTGCTAAGAAGAGCTTTCATTAATTTGTATTTTTAACTCATGTAGCAATTATTTAATAATATAATTAAATTTAATAAGATAATAAAAAAAGATAAGAGTGTGTGTGTGTATGAATGGGATGTGTGGGGGGCACGTGTCTATGGTTGACAATTAGTTTGTCCTTTTGTTTCTGTCAACTCCAAGACGGCATCCCACTCACTCCCTACTCATTCTCATATTCTTACATTCTGCTCATTCTTATTTACATTTTACATGCTGTCTCCGTCAAAAAATAAATAAAAATTAAAAAAAAAGAGTGAGGAGTGAGGAGACGTGTTGAATATGAAGTGAGGTTGGTGACCAATTCTAGGGTGGCTGCGTTGTTATACACATCTTCCAAACGTAATTACTTCTTCTTCTTGTTGTTTTTGATGGATAGAATAGACGTAAATACCCTTGGGGCTTGGATGACCAAAGAAAGGATTCCTTTCTGTTTTTATATAAGCAGATAGCTACCCAGATTCTGATATGCTGTTTTCTATATAAAGCATAAGAAAAGCTCATTCATTTCCATTTCCATTTCCATTTTCATTTCCATCGTCTGTATTATATATATAGCAACTAGCAATTAGCAGGTACGTAGGTGATGAGCAACAAGCTGATGATCAGTATGGTGGAGGCTACGCTTCCCCCAGGTTTCAGGTTCCACCCTAGAGATGAAGAGCTTATATCTGATTACCTTTCCAATAAGGTGTCTGATTCTGATTCTGATTCCAATCATCATCGTCGTCATGCTCTTCTTCCTCTCCTCCTTCAAGTTGATCTCAATCACTGTGAACCATGGGACCTTCCTGGTATGTAATTACTTCTATATTTCTAGCTTAATTCTAACTGATTGTATCTATTTCTTATCTTAATTGATATTTCAACCGTCTTATTCCTGTATCTGATCATGCATCATGTATGGCCACAGCTGATCCATCTGTTTCTGTTAATGACTATACATATCGTAGTATCTGATCATGCATCATGTAGGCTCTACACTCTACACTTGCACACATAATTATAATTAATGAACTTAATTAACTAATCCATATATTAATTAATTAATTTAAGGTCTTCCATCATTAATTGCTACCTACACCTATTTCTTTCACTTACTTTTTATACGAATTGACGTTTTGTCTTCTAATCTTAAAAAGACTACATCTATACATACCATACATGTCCAATACGTATCTACTTATCTTAATTAATATATAAATTATCAACACAATAATAACAACTAACTAGTTGACAACTGTTGTTGATGTATGTACCCAATAATACATACAAACATACATACATACATACTGTTTTAACATTGATAGATTTCGACACTTATTTTAGACTCATGCATGTATATTATACATACATGAGAAGCTAAAATTTGGATCTACATAGACTCCCACGTGATTGGCCCTCCCCTGATCACACAACCAGCCCAACCTCCAAATTTACAACCATTCGTTTCATCATCACCATCATTAATTAATTAATTAATCAGTCAACCATTCCTTCCAAAATAAAATTAATTTCCTAATTGATAATTAATTAGTGAATGAATGAATTTGATGAATTAGAAATGGCATGCGTGGGAGGCAAGGAATGGTACTTCTATAGCCAACGAGACCGAAAATATGCAACTGGACTACGAACAAACAGGGCGACTGTGTCGGGGTATTGGAAGGCAACCGGAAAAGATCGGTGCATCCTTGGCAAGCGCACCCAACAGGTTGTTGGCATGAGAAAGACTCTGGTTTTCTACCTGGGAAGGGCACCCAAAGGAAAGAAAACCGATTGGGTCATGCATGAATTCAGGCTCCAACAAGATCATCATCATTCTTCTAATTCTCTTAAGGTCTTTCTTTCTTTCTTTCTACACACACACACACTCTCAAATTGAGCCATGTAGGAAAAAAGATTTGATTAATTTGTGACATGAAAAATGGTATTAACCACTTTTCTTAGTGAAAATATTATATATATGGGGTTGGGTTCACGTGAGACCAACATGTTTTCGTGAAACCTATGAGACCACTTTTTTATATTTAAGACTTGACAGTAAAACGCTGTGAAGATAAAAAAGCCAAATCTTCATAGCAAAAAAATGTAAAAAAAAAACGTTTTGCTGTGAAGTTTCAAGTGTAAAAAAGTGGTCTTACGGGTCTCATGAAAACATGCAGCTCTCACGTCTCTCCCTTTATATATATCCATTTGCATTAATTATATATATAAAGAAATGAATTAATTAATATACATACATTTATAAATAGATGGGACTATTAATGCCCACCCACATAAATCCAAGTTAGTTTGTCTTCTTTGAAGTTGACAAACACATACTCTATCCTTGTTTTAAAAACTAAATTTTTTATTCAGATTTTTCTTTTTGCAAAAGATTAGTTAGTTAAGGATAATTTAATTGCTAAAATTTAAATCAACATACATTAAAAGTTGTTTATTTACCTCTTAATAGTTCTATTAAGAGGCAGTCTCTATATTCTTAAGAGATGAATCTTGTTTGACAAAAAAAAAAAAAGTATGCCTCATAATGGTTCTAAAATCCTCTGAATGATTTTACACATTGGCCTTCCTTAACCTCCCTAATTTCATTGTAAACAATTACCAAACAATTATATTTCATTTTGCACTATATCATAAGAGCCACTTAATCATTCTGCACCAAACTATCAAACAGCTCATATATTTACTTTTTGATCTCTTTTGATCGACTCCTACATATATTTATTCTTTCATTCATAGTTAATTTGTAAAAAAAATATTACAGGAAGACTGGGTGTTATGTAGAGTGTTTTGCAAGAATAGAGAATTAGTTGGTGGAAAACAAATCAATAAGTGCCACAGCAACGTTGATCATGAAGATAGTACACTAAGCTGCTCTTCATCTCTCCCACCATTAATGGAACCTCCTAATTACAGCTTCTCTTTTGACCAAAGTCAACCAGCCATGCCCATCCCCACAAGTAATATTATTGATATCTTTAACCAGCAAGTGCCCTGCTTCTCCATCAATACCCCCCCAGATATCGATATCATATTCTCCAACACCATACCACCACCAGCTGCTGCTGATGCACCACCTGCAAACTCCATCCCTGTTCCTAATCCTTCGTCCTCATCAATATCCCAATCACTTGATCACTATTCATGTTGTGATCAGGATTCAAAGAAGGAAGTGTTTAAAGCCATTTTGAGTCGATTTCATGAGATGGATCATGAATCTAGTACCACTAGTTTAAGCTTTGGCGAAGGGATTTCCGATCAAAGCTTCTTGTCGGATGCAGCTTTGCCTGTTACCATGTGGTACCCTTGATTGATTATATACTGTATCATCATATCCTTGTTATTGTGTACATATCTAGCCATGTATATATCATTTGATCTCTATCAGAATTTTAAAGAAAATGTTAGCTACTTATATCCATGCATGTTATATATATATATATATATATATATATATATATATGTATAGATATATACCCTGCACACATGCATATATGTATATGTATGTAGAAACTCATATGTAAAAACAAGCAAATACTTGTTTAACAACATAAATTTAGCAACCAAAGTGTCTTTGGCCTAGCGGTATGTGAGTCTTTGGCCTTTTAAGAGGTCAGAAATTCAAATCTCATCAAAGGTGATGAAGGTATGTGAGTTTATTTGTTCTGTTTGCTGTATAAATTTAGCAATTATTTGTGATTTTGATTAAAATTTGTTGGAGTTAATATGTTTTTAGTAATAGAAAATTTGGTTAATTAGTTATTAACTATCATTCACATACAAATGGCTATTAATTAATTCTTTATTTAAATTAAGTATTTATTTACAAATATTAATTAAGTAATGAAACATGAAGTCACGAGAGATTGGCTCTCTTGATCAATTACATTTTTGTCAATGATTGGAGGGAGAAATCGATTTAAATAAATCAAATGGTCACTCCCTTGATCTTGATGTCATATGTAATTCTTAATTTATTTTATTTTTTGTTGACAATATCAATAAATTTAATAAAATTAAATAAATCTTTACTATTAATTTGGACACCACCACTTCCACTTTTATATAATACATAAAGATTTGTAGAAGTGTGATTAGTTTGACCTCAATTTATTTCTAAATTAATTGAATAAAACCAATTAACAGATAGATGATTATTCTAAACAACTTTTAAAGGGTTGTTTGGCGGTTGCTGAATGGTTTGGTGTAGAATTATTAAGTGATCAAAATGATTAAAAGATAATGCAAAACCAAATATAATTGTTTGGTAATTATTTACAATAAAATTAGGGTGTTGAATGGTTAAGGGAGACCCATGATACAAAATCATTAAGAGGGTTTTAAAACTATTAAAAGACGGATGAAACTATTAATAGATAAACAAACATTCAACTTTTAACGATTCAGAGACCGTCTCTTATGAAACTATTAAGTGATAAACAAACAAACCCTAAAAGGTAAAAATATGAAATTATATTTGGGTTTAATAAACATTAATTAGTTAATTAATGATGAGGGAGGGGAATTAATTAATTATGAATGAATCACACGAATTGAAGGATTAAAGAAATGATAATTAATTAGAAAATTAATGATGACCGTACAAGAATGAATAGAAAAATGGCGTGATTATGATAGTGGGTGGGTTAGGTTTAATTTGTATGCCAAAAAGTCCAAAGGGGAATCTGAGTCCTTGGCAATGGAAAGCAACTTACAACCAAACTCATATGTGCACCAACTTCCAATTGTTGATGAGTTTTAATTGGAAGCCAAATCAAGTTAAACCAAGCACCAAAGTCAACCATCCAACACCCAAATCAATCAATTCAACACTACATTATTCGTAATGCCTAAATTAAACCATACAAGTTACCCTTTTTATTCCTTTCAGTCAAATGATAGAAGTTATTGGTAGCTCACTACTAAGACTAATTATAAAGAGCTAACAGTTCTCATTTCTATATGTACAGTAGCCTCTCAACTATGGCATGTATATATCAAGAATCATGGTTTAGTTTTACATATGGGATTGATGATAATCATATATATATATATATATATATATATATATATATATATATATATATATAGTGGGTTTCATTTTTATATGGCTTGATGACGACACTGATTGCCTAAAAGTTCTCATGATCAATAACCTACCATTTAACAAGGTTTCTTTCTTTCATTTCTTTTGTTGAGTGGTTCCTTCCAAGTGTTTGTTTCTTCTTTTTTGTAGTCAAATCTAAACGCAGTAAAAATGAGTAAACAACAAGAGTTGATGATCCATGTGAAAAGTGATTAATTGTAGAACCATATATCCTTTCATATGGATCCCCTTGAGGGCATGATTCTCTGCTTCTGCATGCTTTGCTCTTTCTTTCATTTATATATATACACATGTAAGTTTTGTTGGTAGGAATTTGAATGAACTACTCTTTCAAAAGAAATGGAACAACTGTCTTTGTTGAACTATATATAGTACCCATTGCCCCGCCCACACCCTACCAATCATCATGTCACTAGTGTTGTCGTCATAGCTATCACCCCACCCCTCCCCTGCTTCATAGGTGGGGGATTGTTGGGGCAAGGCGGTGGGGATAGAGTGGGCCAGTGGGTGGTAGCTGTGACGACTATTGTGGTAGGATGGCAATTAGTGGTGAGTTGGAGTAGGGTAAGGTGTGGCGGGGGTCAGGATGGGATGGTGGGATGGTCATTGTAACGATGATAGTGATCGGATGGCTGGGACTGAGAGTGGGTGGGTATGACAACAACAATAGTGGCATGATGTTTATTGATAGGGTGGGGTGTGGGTGATTAGCAGTTGTGAAGGCGACAATAATGGTGTGGGGGGTTAGGTTATGGGCGGGACAGTGATTAGGGGAGTGACAGTAACAGTAGTAGCATAGTCGCAGTAGGGATGTTCAGTAAGTAACCGAAGTTGGGTGGTTGTGATGACACCTTAGTGGCATGGTGGTTAGTGGTGGGGTTGGGTAGGTGGCGGCAACAATAGTGGTGTGGTGGTGGTGGGGCATGACGAACAATAGTAGCATGATCGTGGTGGATGGTGATGAAATTCAATTCATTCTGTTATGCCAATAAATGACGAATTCATTTATTTATGAAATCCAATAAAATTTGAAGGATTTCATCCATTTCAAGAAACGAACCAAACAAACGAATAACTAATTAAGATATATTGGTTTTAACAAATGAACCAAACATATGTGTACACACATGTGCGTTGTTCAACCCGTAAGCTAATTAACATGTAATAACCAAGGCATCTTGCTTTTCATAATCGTGTGCAACAACATATTTGATAGCCGACCATTCACGATCTATAAATAATTAACAACCACCAATAATTAATGTGAAATATAAAGTGGTGGTACTGGTACAATTAAGGTTGATGATGATGATGATGATGGATGTTTACTTAGTAGGTAGCAGGTGACGATGACTACTGTGCCAAAGCACTTGTGCTGTAAACAAGAAGAGCACCTCCTCCTAGAATTCCAGCCAAGGTCACTGCCCATATCAACAACCCAGTTGTCCCTGCAATTTCATTCATCAACTACCCTCTTAATTTATAAACCTCAACCTAATTACCACAAACAGTCAATCTGATTCAGTTCTCACCACCAACATACACATCACCACTTGGAGACCATTCCTCTTCATTGTAGATTGGACTGTCAAATCATATACATATACACATGTCATTCATCTTCTAAATGCTTTCTCATACATACATACATACATAAAACTAATTATACCTGTATCCATCAACATTAGCACCATACTTGTCAACAAATTGATAAACACCCTTTCCCTGCATGCATCATGAATCAATTACTACCCTCTTTATATACATATATATATATACTAAGAGATAGATATATATATGTATACAAACCGTTGGCTTCCTTCCATTGGCATCTTTGCCATCCCTCAAAGCCATGCCACCTCCAATTCCTATATATTAATTAAAACCTTGGTTTTTCAGTTGTGAGTTATATGTATATGTGATGGGAAGGGAAGAGGTATAGAGATTTGAGTAGTAACCAAAGGGTTTGTCGGTTTTGATCTTCTTGACACCACTGGCGCAGACCCTGAAGGAAGATCTTGTGGAAAGTGAAGGAAGAGCCTTCACCTCGGCTGCTACCAATGGAGCAGAAGGCTTAAGAGTCACTGAGGACATCACCGTCGCTGCCATCTCTGCTTCGCTGCTTGATCACTCTTCATGATTTTTATGTGATCCCAAGATATATATATTGTTATCCATCCATTCATGATTCACATGGTGACACGTGCCACTCCTCTTGTGGTCTGCTTTCTGGATATGTAGATTTCACAACATTATCTACATCCAAAATCCAATGCCTCTTTTATTGGGTTACCTACCAAACTTTCAGCCACATTTTTTTTCAAAAATAACCTTATATTACCCTCTTAGCACCGTTAAATACGAACAAGGACTATTTTATAATTAATAAAAGTTACGGTTTTTATTTAAATTTTTTTCTAAGGTGGGCCCCACCACTCACACTCGCCATTCGATGCATAAGGGCTTCACAAGATTATGTTTATTTTTTATTTATTTTTAATTTAATTTTAAAAAAAAAATTAATTTCTTAATTTTTTTAAGAATTTTTATTTTCTTAATTTTTTAAGAACTTAATCTGTTTAAATATTTAAATTTTTTTTCAACTTTATTTTTTCTAAAATTATTATTTTTTTACAAGTTTATTTTTTTGTTAGAAATTTAGTTATTTTTTCAAAATTTTAATTTTTTTTCTTAAAAATTTATTTCTTTAAGTTTAAGTTATTTAAATTTGTTTTTCATCAAAATTTAATTACTTTTCTTAAAAAATATTTTCTTAAAAAAAGTTTGATTACTTTTCAGAAAATTTTAGTTTTTAGAAAAGTTTATATTTTTTTAAATTTAATTAATTTAAAAAAAACTAATGAAAAAATTACAATTTTACTTTAATTTAAAAAACATTCTTAAAAATATAAGAATTCAAATATCCGAATTTAAAAAAAAAATTTATAGAAATTTTAGATTTTTGTTTACCACCAGCAGTTTCATAATTTTTTTAAAAATTTAATTTCTTTTGTTTAGAGAAGTTTATTTTTTTAGAAAATGATAACATTACCCCTAAAAAATAATTAAATTTTAATAATTTTAATAACTAGAAAATAATTAACATTACCCTTAGAAAAGTTTGTTTTTTCAAAATTAAATTTTTTAAGAAAAATATTTAAATTTTAATAAAAAACAAATTTAAATAATTTAAATAACTTAAAAAGATATTTTTAAGAAAAAAATTAAAATTTTGAAAAAAAAAAAAACTAATTTTCTAACAAAAAAATTAATAAATTTTAATAAAAACTAAACTTGTAAAAAAATTAAATTCTTAATTTTTTTAAGGAAATAAAATTTATAACTTTTTTTTAAAACAAAATTAAATTAAAAAAAATAAAAACAATCTTGTGGGACCCAACCTAGAATTTTTTTTTTAAAAATCGTAACTTTTATTAATTGCAAAATGGTCCATGTACGCATTTAACGGTGCTAACAGGATAACTCAAGGCCATTTTATGAAATTTTTAAAAAATGAGACTAAAATTGTAATTTGTTGATTTTGGGTGGTTAGTTTGGTAAGGATTCCTCTTGTTCTACTTCTATTCAGTTTCAACGATCATATATGAGTCTGTTCAGTGGTCACTAAACATGTATTATAAACTTCTTAAAGAACAAATATTCCTTAAACAAGACTCACACCAAAGAAACTTTCAGTGATGTCAAAGAAGTAGTTGAAGATAAAGACATAACAGTTCATGATCTAAAGTGGATTCAGTGATAACAAGAATGTCTAAATCAAAGTGTTAAATCTAACCAAGACTCAACAAACACTGAATAACTTTTGGGGATGAATCAGTGTCAACGATCAAATGAGTCTTGTTCTAGAAGATTAATTTTTGTCTTATCCTCTTGCACAAAAAAGACAACTCCATAACTCATACCAAAAAGTATACGTATAGAGTTACTTTATTGTTTCCAAACGTGCTTACCAATTCTATGAAAGACAACTGTTCATATGCGACCAAAAGCATGCATATATGAAGATAAAGAACAAACTCTCTACTAGAAGCTTGCCACGTGGCTTGTACCATCTGGCTTGCATTAAATGCAATGGATATAAATAACTGAGAAGACACATTTTTTCAGCAAGCACCTTCTTCTCTTTCTAACTCTCTTCTCTCTTGCAACTATCATCTGTACAAATTGTGTGCTTCTATGATTGTTTAGATTAGGTCTTAACCTTGTCTTCTTTCGCAACATTCTGTAAATTCCATATTAGTCTTCTTTTTGTCAATAAATGAATTTAAAAAGTAAAAACTGTGTGTTTGTATTCATCCCCCATGTCCTACAAACTGCTACCTTTAAAACTCTTGTAGATCCGTTTGGGACCAACACACACATATTCATCGACAAGATGATTCATACTAGATCATTTTGGGCATTGGCACCTTGTATTTGAACCTGATATACATAACATTTTCAAACACGTCTTCTATATCATTACACTGTCCTTGAACTGTTTCTTATATTTATTAGTGAAAAGGGTTGCAAAAGGGAGAGCAAAGAGTTTACGAGAAAGTTGTCCATAATGAACTAAGAACATACTATAATGAAAAATGAATGAAATTGTACCATATATAATCTGAAACAATAACTGATTCTCCAAACACAATTCTAAGGCAAGACAAGTACCCCAAATTAAGTTAGTGGGAGTGGTCTGGAATACGAAGCCCTTCAAGAGCCATGTAACATGCTTGTTTAAATATCTATCCAAAAAGCACATGAAATTTAGGAGTCCTAGCAAAGGGCCAGACCTAGCAGTATCTGGACCTTTGGTCTCTTAGGAGGCACAAGTCCAAACCTCACTGAAGATGAGGAGGGTGCGTGAGTTCTTTTATTGAATCTTCCGTACTTCAAAATGTTTCTAGACGTTCTATTTTCGTTAGCCCCGAACTTCATTAAGCTTGGTCATATATAGGAAGGTGTGTATATATTAATTGAGAGATGATCAAGAATGAGAATATAAAAGGATATGCATGAATAGGACAAAGTCTAAGGCAAGATGGTGTGAGGTGGGATTTTCATTCCAAGGATTTCAATGAGTAGAGGCCATATGGTATTAATTAGTGGTAAATCATGTTTGTAAATTGGAGGGTTGATACATTATGGGCCTGGCCCAATCAACGTAGCCCATTGATTTTCAAACAACCAACCATCCAACTTTAAACTTTATAATTGGTTCAAAATCATAAAAAAAAAAAAAATATTAATTATAATCATAAGGTGTATTATGAGAATTCTTTTAGCATAATACATATCAATTTATCTCCTGCATATATTCTCATAAAATATTTATATATTCACCATTCACCAAACAAAAATTATGTTGTTACGTACTTTGATATAATTGTTGAATATTTTTGTAATTTGTTTATATTAATTCATTATACTCATTTGCAATATTGACTAAACACCTCCTTGAAACCTCTTTTTTCCAACATCTGATTGTACATAGTGGGACAATGATAGCTAGTATTATGACCATTTCAGATACATAGGAGTCTGGTTGATTTGTTATTTTTTCATTTGACTTGTTGAAGTTTTTTAGATTTGTTTAAAACAGTTCATAGTTTGGTTTATCTGTAAAAAAATCCTGAAAAAAGAGGTTATAATAAAATTACGTAAAATAAAATATATGTATTATATTGATTCTAGTGTTAATTGTATATAGAGTTTGCTTTTAACTTGAATACAAAATTAATTTAATATATATATATATATATATA